AAAAAAAACGCATTTGAGACAAAACTGGAAAGAAAAATATATTACGTACAAAAAGCGCACATGGTGTAGTCTTAAAAAAAACTTTCTTTTGGAAGAAAAACAAGTTTACAACGTCAATAAATGCAAACTTTCTGTTTATTTACAATATTTTTTTGTTGAACGCGTTACCATGGTGTGAATAAACACAATAGAGTAAGAAATAGTTGGAAGAAGCACACACACGATGACGTATTAAAAAAATTTTTTTCAGGAGAAAAACAAATAGGCAACGTTAATGATTACAAACTTGCTTTTTTTTACAACAAATCTTTTTTAACGCGTAAAAATATCGTTTCTACAAAGCTTCTCTGACTGAAAAATTCATATTATTACCTTATATGTATTTCTTTATTAACATAAATTAAATGTCTTATCTTTTTATTAATACCATTTTATTAATTCTTTATTACATAAAAATCAAATACAAATTAAATAGTATAATTACAGAATTATAGAAAAAGAATTAAGTTCAATAAAGATCAATTAATTTAGAAGCATTTCTAGTGCTATCTCTTTTAGAGTTCGAAGTAAATGATTGAGTTTTATTGTTTTTAATGAAAACTGTCTAGTATCAATGCTTTTCTTTTCTCCCGCTCAATAATAAAACGAAATTATTTTTTTTTGTTTAATTAGCTCAAAAAATAGGATGTATCAAAATATGAAAAGTCTATTAGTATACAATTTGAGAATATAACCGGCATTAAGATGAATTGCTTAGTTCTTATATTAATGAACTTATGAATACTTGTGAACTTTATTTTAAAATAAAACATGCTACAGAGTTCAATAACATTATTAAAAAATAAAACATTTAATTTACATTAATACAGAAATCCATATAAGGTATTAATATCATTTTATATCGAACTGTGTGTGTATAGACATTCCTTTATAAAAAGTTCTTCTTAAAGTAAAAGTAACAAAACTATAGAATGATTTTATTGAGTGACTGATAAAAGATAAATAGGTACGTGAACATTTAAAGGTGATTTCGATTACACAGGCTTTTTTTCACTTATCTACCTACTAAGACATTCACATTCCGATAACGATAGAAGTTACTAGTATACTAAAACTTATCTAAAATTCCAACTACCATGAAATATAACTTCTAGATTATCCATCCTTCTACTGTATTTTAAAAAAAATTTAATATGTTAGTATCGAAAACGCCCTCTATGACACATAAGTCTATTACGAATGTGTAATTATGTATTTTTCGAAAATATAAATATTAGAAACGGATCAATAATGACTTAGTTTGATATATACTGAGAATGAAATTTTAATTTTGTATTTTTTTTAAATTAGAAGAATTATCGAAAAGAAAGAAACATATGAATAATACTGTGACGAGTTAGGATTACATATTGATAGAATCGATACTAGATATAGTTCGACTGTCATTACAATGTTACAGAGAGCTTATACGAAGAACAAAATCGAGATTGCTTTAATCGATTTACTATAAAATATACTTATTTCACCTACCGCATATTTATGCATCATAAACTGTAACGCGTTATTTCACTAGATGGCTCGCTCGTTATTATTTCAATGGCATGGTGTTCCAAGAAAATACTGTAGTGAATCCTTTCTATTGTCTTAAATAACCTATGTACTAGGACCAGCCAATAAATTAAGCTGAATTAGGCAAAATGAAAGTGGCTGTGAACTATTACACTACTTTCCGATAATTCGATGTTTTTTTAATTTTTTTGTTCAAAAAAAGGGTAAACATACTTTCTGTTATAGTATGAAAATATGCGTTCTCTGCCCTCATGCTAAAAACCATCTTTCTATATTTTCATTTCAGGTACTTCCAATGATCTCGGGTATAATTCTAATCGTAATTATGGTTTTGAAGCTTCAAGAAATGTACTATTTAGCGACAAGGTGGCAAGTAAGATTCAGTGAATTTGTTGTTATTGAAGTCGAATTTAACTTTACCTGTAGTTTATGAAGATGATCAACTGTTAATCGATGATACACCACTTGGTATTTCACCAGTACCAACTGCAGGTAATAAAACACCATTGCATATTGAGAATGCACTATCATCGTTTGCTCTTTTTCCCTTTATAAAACACGTCATTGAGATAAGAACGACATATAAGTTCCTTGCAAGGTAGTCATTATCAGCAGAAGAGAACGGGCAGATGAATCCTATCAAGACAGAAATGAAGGGGCGAAAAAGAAAATGAAGAAAAGAACAACTGATATCGATACGACACGTACGAATGCAAATGTTTCACTCATACTGATTATACAGATGAATTAACAGTCCTCCGAAGAATGAAAAAAAAATAAAAATAGGAAGAACGTTATCGATAATAACATTCTTTCAAGTATAAAAAAAAAGAAAAAGAAAATGAAACACGAGTAACATGATAGCTAAGAGACTCGAAGTATGTATTACATAGTTTGTATATTGTATGAAGAGCAAGAGAAAAGAGAATCAGATGAAATTTAAGATGGAGGCGCGTGTGTGTAAGATATCTATGTAAATGTTTTTAATAGATACTGAAGGAAATACATTTTTTTGCGTTTCAACAAATATAGCATAAATTTATATTAAAAATGAAAATTGTTCGAAATTGTAATCGCTATTAGTATCTCAGTCATTTAATTAACTACCGTTATAATAAAAAAAACTACTTTCTATCCATATCGTAAAGAATAAACGCTTGTAAACTTTACAACTGACCTTTCGTAATAAAAAAGACTCTTAAGATCAAGAATAAATACTATCTATTTTCGTATTTAGAAATTGTGATTTTTGGCAACACTTTACCTTTTCCATAACAAGTGGAAGTTTTGCCAGGCGAACATTATCTGAAAATACGTCACAATTATATATACTCACGCTGTGGTCGTTTTTTGATATATTATGTCTTCTGTTTTTATTTTTTATTTCTCATCAACTAGTTTTTATTAATTCTCGTAAAATAAGATCATTGTCTTGAGCAATTGTTTTTATCAATAATTTCTCCATTATGTGCTTTCTTCTTTTTCTGTACTATTTAATAAAATTATTTTTATTAAATATTAACTAAGCATATGTAACATGCACATTTTGAGAGTGAATGGGTGTGGGTAAGTATGGGTGTCGGGTGAATGTTAGCACGGGTGCGAGAGTGTGAGGATGGGTTTGAGATGAGTATCTCTTCGTTGTCTCACCTACACTCATACGGAGATTGTGTGCTAAAATATTTTTTGGGAGAACTTGGAATTTCCAAGTTGGAAATATATATGAATAACGAAATTTGCATTGAAAGATTTGCACAGATGTGTCATACGCTTTCTTCTCACTGATAAGAATACAATAATCATGCGAGCTTAAAAATAGCAGCTTAAAAATAGAAGCTTGTTATTCTTCGCAATTGAAAAATGAGTTATAATCTGTTTTTCCTTTCGTTTACTCGGAAGTATATAAAGCACGGATTGCAATGATATCACATCAGTTATCTCTTCAAAAACAATAATCGACGCGGTATGTAATACGAAACAAACTTCTTATTGATTTTATCAAGCTATCTAATTATAGGAATCATGGCTGCCGCTGTCGTATTTAACCAAGAAATCTTAGCTAGCATAGGTCTTTTCAAGGAATGGTCACACGAAGTATTCAACAATCTGAAGAACATTGATGAGAGTCGACATGCATCGCTCGATGATATTGCTGAAGAAATGGGTAATTGTTTACGAGAGGCCAATTTGAACAGCCACATCGGTATTTGTCGCATTCACAATCATTTCAAAGTCAATCCAAATGAAGTTGTTCAGATGTCTTTGGGATCATCTATCGATGATTATATGGCAAAGGTAGAAAGCAATGCTACTGTCGCTCATATTAAGCCTGTTGAAGTGAAAAGAAAATTGGAATTTATTCCAATTCCATACATGTGGGGATTTGACAAGGCCAGTCGTCAGTTTTTTCCTATGGAGTTCTTCGACGGATCAAATGTCATCATGCAAAGTCGATTTATTGAAACGGTGATTGAAAAACGCCTTGAATTGATTGATTTTCTACATCGTTTCATTGATCGAGTGAGTGCAACTGGTACAGAAGATGATTTGGGCTTCTACCTACGCTATGACAATTTAATAAACAAACAAATTGACGAAGGCTTAGTTGAAGACACTGACGTGAACCGTCGTAAACAGTGGATTCTGCCAAAAACTAAGAAAACCATGCAAGAGACTTTGGAAGAAATAAAGAAAATCGATCAACATGCATTCATTGCACGTACACATTGGTACTTCGAAGGTGATTCAGAGACAAAGACTGTAGATTGTTGCCATTGTACTCATTGCTGTCGTCACTGATATGTCAATGAAATTGAACTATACTGGTGACTGGTTTTAAGGGTGTCGGTTTACAACTAATTTATTTTTAATCTAAATTCGTTCAAAGTTAAGTAGAGGGTGTATATACATGTAACATGTGTTTTATTGAAATTAAAATTTTTTTATTTGATAGAAATAAAGTATATTTCAATTAAGATCGAACAATCTCTATGGATTTGACTCAATATTAAACTTTTGTACTCGATGATTTTCATTGTCGACAACATAGAGATTACCATGTCGATCGAATGATAAATCGACAGGAAATCGAAGTTGGTTCGATTGTCCCCCCATATCGTTCCCACCAACAATGACATTTCCTTCTGTAGCTCCTCTGAACCAACGTATGATTCGATGATTTCCTCCATCTGCTACATAAACAGTACCCAATTGATCGACAACGATTCCGTAAGGTTTTGACAGTTGCGTATAATTATTTCCTTGTGTTTGATTACCAGCCACAACAATGCCTTCTTTTGCATCTTTCGTCCATTTCAATACACGATGATTGTCATGGTCCGACACGTATACAGAATGATCTCGATCGACGAACAGATATTTAGGATTTGAGAATTGATTGGACCCATTTCCTTTTCCATTTCTACCTGCAACGACTGTTTCTCGAGGCTCTTCTCTTTGATATCGTCTCACTTCATTTCTTTCACCATCAATGACATAGAGAGATCCATCTTCGTCCATTGCCAAATCCTGACAAGAAATATTGGAGATGATCGTTTCAATAATTCCATCATTTCTACGAGACCATCGAATCACTTTTCTATTACCCGAATCACAAATAATAAGACTATCTCTCTCTTTGTCGAGAATTACATTTCTTGGATTGGACAACTGATTAGTGCCATTTCCTTGTCCATTTCCTCCGACAAGAACTTCACCACTCGTTGCACTCCATTTCCATTGTACAATACGATGATTCGATTGATCAGTAATATAGAGAGTTTGATCATCATCAATATACAAGCCAACTGGATTATTAAGATGAAAGTTTTTATTGCCTCGTCCATTTCCTCCAGCCACAGTGAGACCATTCTGTACCCATTTGGCACTTGAACGAATGTCAGTTGACTGTAATGGTACTGAAACGATATAAAATTTAGGAGTATGAAAGAATATCAATTTGATTGAAACAAGACTCCGATTTGTAAGATGACGCATATTTCTGTCAAATAAATTTGTATTCTTAACTTTTAAGACAACGATAGCTAAATTATCATTTTATTTCATTTGAATGTTTTCAGCTGTCAGTCAATATTAGATCTCTCTTATTTTACAAAACACAGTATATCTTTTGTATCAATGAAATGTATTTAACTTATTTCATTATATTTTGCTAAGAAGAGGATCTACCCTTTATTCATCTTTTGAAAACATCAACTCTGTTTAGAAAATATCTAAGTACAAACCTCGCAATGATTCGACTTCAGCTGTGTTATAATCGATAAACAGTTTGATATCGTCGCACCAATTGTTCTTGTTATGAGTTTTATTTTGATCTGCACTGAATTTGATAAAAACTTGAAGTTCCTTCATATCTTCATGCAATCTCATGATGGTGTTATTTTCTGTTGTATCTACATAAGAAAGATATAGTCGTCATAATTACATTATAGTTACACTACAATTACCTAAAATTGTTTTATTGAGGATCGCTCCATTTTGATTCTTTCCAATTAATTCAATAGATACTTCACTCGTCATATGCGCGTCTAATACGGCTAGAGAACATTTCCAGAAATTCGAATCCCAATGGGACAAGTCGATCGTTTGATACATACTAGCTCCAACATCGTTGGATTGTACAATAAAATGACAATTATTGAAGTCTGTATCAGTTTTCATAGTAGTAATGTTACCGTGTGTTAGCATCCAGGCGAGATGAAGAGGAATATTGCAATCAGCATGGCCATTGTTGACCAAGTTCGTACCATGAGCACGTGTTCCATTAGGTAATAGAGCATCTCGAATAGAGAGAGCCCTTTCCAGTTGACTATAAGTAATTTCTGTTCCATTAAAATCAGCCTTTTCCAAATTAGTAAGTGAAAACGTCACATGTGTCAAAACAGCATTATTGAAGAAAGCATTTTTAGCATTTACTTGATAGAAAGTTGACTCCGATAAATTGGCACGATCAAAATGAGCTGCAATACAACGAGTTCGTTCAAATTTTGTGTATGGCATCTTAGCATCATAAAAACTACCTGAATCTAAAGATACATTTAAGAAAAAATATTTCCTGAACAAAAACAAATTTTTATCATCAAGATTACCTAATATGGCGAATAAAAAGCTGACATTGGATAGATGAGCTTTTGAAAAGTCGGTCTTATAAGTTTTTACCATTGAAAACTGAACATTGTCCAGCTGAGCGGATACAAATCTAACATAGCTAAGATCAATATAACTCTGTTCAGTAGATGAAAAGATGATATTATCGAGTCGAGCGGATGAAAAATCGACATCAACGAGCGTAGCAAATGAAAAATTGACATGGCTAAGATTAGCGGATGAGAAATCAACATTAGTGAGATTAGCGAATGAAAAATCAACATGGGTGAGGTTACTGGATGAAAAATCGACATTGAAAAATTGAGTATAGGAAAAATTGACATACTCAATTTGCGTGAATGGAAATTTCACCCAGTTCAGTAAAGCAGACGAAAAGTCAATATTGTTAAACCGAGCAGATGGAAAGTTAATATTTTCAAGCCGAGTGTAAGACCAATTACTGTTGTTGAATGTCGCATTGGAAAAGTTGACACGGTTAATTCGAGCAGATGAAAATTTGACATTATCGAGTTCAGCAAATGACACGTTCACATTTTCTATCTGGGTGGATGTTAAGCTACTATCATTGAATAAGGTATGTGAAAAATTGATATATTTCATTTCAACATTATCGAAACTCGCATTAAATAGAAAAATACTAGCTAGTGATATATTATACAATTGTTTTCCACGAATTGCTAATTGACGAAAATCAATATTAGGAAGTTCCGCTGTTGAAAGATCCAGTGAACACTGTTCTCCTATGCCACTAAGTTGTTCAGATTCGTGTAGGAATCGAATAATGCGAATATTGCGTTGTGGATCTAGTCGACGAAAGATATTGAGAGTTTTAGCGCGAGTAAGTATCATTGGAACTTGATTTAAAATGAGTGATCCTTTATATTTCTCCAATAATTGACCAATTTCTCTAATATAGGCATCGAAAATATCGTCTCGATATCGCTCAGCAGCTATTTGTCTCTCCAATTGACGGTTCTGTTCAGCGACTTTGTGATCTTCGATACGCTGTTGCTTGGTAGCATTATGTTGATTTATAGTAATGACAGCAGTAAAGATGCCTAGCATGAGTGGTAATAGAAGGGAGGACATTAATTTCGTTACCTTAACAATTGTTACACTACAGAATTTATTTTTCTGAACTGAAGATCTGTACGTTTGCGTAGAGTTCTCTCGAAGAGCCATTCGTTTCTTCGTTAGTTAAGAGTTACAAGTAGAGATACACGCAAATGAAAGCGTGTTCATACGTTCTTTTTATATACTCTCTCAGACAAAATCCATTTAATCATTATTTGATCAGTATGGTATACGTGAAGATATGATTACAATTCTATTAAAGTCGTGTTTTAATACTAATTTATTAACGTAACACATACGTGCTCATAATACGATTAAAAAAACGTGATATAAGAATTCATGCATTTTATTTGATTGCATTGTAAGGAGCGTATGTGTTGAATCAAGTATTTAACATAGTATAAGATCACATTACGGTGAAATTGAATGAGCTTATGGGCATATAACAATTAATGCCAATATCACAGGAAATAAACATCGAAATAAGACCAAAAGAATCCAACAAATGAGCCGTGATCGTATATGGTCGTATTTAACCATCTTGAGAGTGTGGGTGGAGTTTGTGTGGATGTATATATTAATTACAAAAAACTATAATATTTACAGTCATACCCACCCATCGATGTGGATATAGAAGGAAGTTAATTGTAAAATTGTATATATATATCTTGCAAATAGATGATCTGTATTTACACCATTGCATTGAAAAAAATAATAAAATAACTCATTCATGCAGCATTCCAAGATAATAACAAAAGAATATAAATTTTCTTCGTTGCTCAAAAACAACAATAAGATGTTGCTAATATGTTCAGTCTGCTGGCGTTCTGTTATATTCGCTTCTAATTAATCTTTTTATCATGCAATAGATATTAGTGAA